AAAAATAAATAAAGAAATAAAGAAAAAAAAAAAGTAAACGAGATTGTTTCAGCAGAAGGGAAAAACTTCCTACCGAAACGCTCGACAACTTAATCGCTGAATTAAAAATTAAGAACCTTGGCAAAGAGCCGCAAAAAAAAAAAAAAGAAAGAAAAAAGAAAGAAAGAAAGGTATAATGCAGGACAGCGGAGTCAGTCGGAAGGCAAATACACATTTCGAATTGACGCCAGCTTTGATCACGTGGTAGCTAATAACAGTCCGGAACCAGTAGTAAAGCACGCCGCTGACAAGCAGTAATGCGGTCCCAGCGTCATGAAGTTTCATACGAGAGGATCCTGTGATGATGTTGCCCGTGAGGTTGAGGCTTTCCTGAATAAAAGACAGAATGCAAACGGATAAGTTTTAAAAACAGCCACCGTGCATACGGCGGCTGCGCCCCCAGTACGAACGGCAGTCAAAACCGAGCTGTCCTACCGAAACGACACGATAATAGTCTTTTTCTTCGCAGCTAACAAAAATAGGGGCAGATGTAAAGTTGCTTTAGCCTCTTCTAACGGTTAACTTGAGAATTCCGGGTTTAGTTTGNGAAACGACACGATAATAGTCTTTTTCTTCGCAGCTAACAAAAATAGGGGCAGATGTAAAGTTGCTTTAGCCTCTTCTAACGGTTAACTTGAGAATTCCGGGTTTAGTTTGACGAGGAACAACCTATTTTTTTCAGAATTACACAAAGAGTATCTTACCTGGCGAAACTCGACGAACTACGAGCGAGTGGCTGGTGCCCCTTTTTTGGAGCCAAATCTGCAGCTTGGAGACAAAAACTGTTTCATATTTTTCACTTTTTACAATCTGATAGATTATGGTTTTTAGGATCTTAAATCCCTTTTCGGAAATATTTAATGCCATATCCAGCGAGAAAAATTGCCCGATTTCTGTGCCTTTCCTATAACATACATTGACGTCAGGACAGTAAAAGGTTTTCCCGCCCGCTGAATATTCAAATTCAGTCGCGTCAGCCGTATGCAAGGAAAGCTTTCCAGAAATTTCCTGGACATAAGGGACCGGTTATTATTTATCGCCTGGGGGGTGGCGGAGGATTTTCGGCTCAAGACAGTAACATTTAGCTGATCCCCCCTTTAAATGTTATTTCATTGACGTATCCCCCTCATAGCTATTGATAAATTTCGTGAACCCCTACCCTACCTAGCGCGCGACAATTTCTGCAGTTATCGTAAAAACGACGAGTTACTAATTATTGTACTGTTTTATAGCAGAAATTTTTTCCAAAGCAACACGCGCTCTCTTTGGCTACTGCGAGGTCACATGACATTTAAAGATAACACTATTTTTTAATTCCCATGCTCCTCGGTGAAATACGCAGTCGTTTCGGTTGGAAACGAAATGGAACAGTCCTTGCCAATAAAGGTTTTCAAATGCAGACAAATGGTACACACTTATCCCGTTTCATGTTTGTTATTGAAAATTTGTACTGTTCTACTTGGCGGGAATTTCTCACCGTTTTCACGCGAATGGAAAGCGCGCCAAATAACGAACCATTCTCGAGTAAATTGAGGTGTCTCGGTTCCAGTACTCGTGGAGTCTTGCTAGCTTGATGTACTTTAGGACCCAGGAGTAATCGGTTTAATTTGTCAGAGTAAGGTAAGGTAACAAAACAATGGCTATAGGTGGTATACGTACATACTACTCTTAGGCGCTTCATGCCGCTGAAACTGTACTCCGGAAACATGGAGTTGGGCCGTGATGATCCATTTGAAATGATTGCGAAAATACAGCAACGTGGATAAAAAGATAACTTATTGTCAGTAGTGATAGAAGTCCTAATTTCTTAAAGCTAACCTTGATCTTTGAACGTCATAAAACGTTAGCGTTTTTCGGTGGTAATTTAGATTTTTTTATTCCATTTCAGTTACACCCCCAATTATAAGATTCCATTAACGCACACGTGCTCGAACTGAACCACTTTTAAAGAGACATTCAGGTGAAAACTGACTGATTAATGGTGCTTTGTGGGCTTTTTAATGTTCTCAGAAGAAGAAACTGTAGACTATTTTTTTTTTTTTGAAAAAAAAAAAGATATCTTCGGATTGACTGTAAAATGAGGCGAAAGAATCACGATTATTTCTTAACCGCATTCTAAATTCCTTAGAGTTGGAATGAAATTAATACATGTGAAGGCTATTTTGTTATGTCACTTTATATCAAGGGTTAAATTGCATCTTCTTTTTGCAAGATCACTCAGTTTTTCTTTCAACATCTCAGGTGAAATTACAACAAGATATTATTCCGGAATAGCGTGGGCGAGATATCCGGTGGATAGGCAACAGGATATGTTGGCTGGGGAAAATTGAATTGAGAAATTTAAATCTCCTATACATTGCGCACAATTGATGACAGAAAAACACATGGCAGGCAAAGATGTTTTCTTTTGTTCCCGCGAAATAAATTACCCCGTAGTTTTGTCAATTTATCCAAAGGGGAATTCAATTCATCTGTAAAACCGTATTAAGAGTTGGTTCTATCCAAATAATTACACTTTTGTTTGAAATGCTTGGAGCATATCATGCCGCGTTGGTTGTTGACACCTGATTTGCGAGTCGCCGCTGACGGATTTCAAAAGAATTAGCATACTCGCCCACTCAAGGAGGTTTATTTGTAAACGCGGACTTAGGCATTGAGGGGAGGTCAATCCTCAGTACACTCGCCATGACTTAGCAGGTAAATACAAAGATTTACTGACGGAATGAGCGATACCGACAAGCGCGGGTTTTGTTTAAGACCCGGCCTGGGTTGTATAGTGTTAGTATGGATTTTAATAGCCACAATCTCACTGGTCCTATCGTACTCCATCGCCCGTTCAACTGGACATGTCTCACCTTTTGTTCCCGCTATTAGCGACATAACTTCCAAGAACCCCGAAGGAGCCATTTTCGCCGAGTTATTCAACGCGACCGCCGTTTTCACTCTAGTTATGATGGCCATTCGGTACTACCAAGTCAAGATGATAAATAGACAGGTAGAAGGCGGTGAATCATCACATCTATCTCAACTTAACATACTCAGCGTCGTTTTCGGCGTTGGAAGTGCTTTGGGAGCGTCCTTTGTCGCTAATTTCAGATCCTCAGAGGTGAGTTTATAGTACAAGTTTTAAAGCTAGTTGTAGCCGAGATCGCTCAGCTAAATTAAAAACCTATCTCAAGCAAAGTCGTTTTTAATAAATTTGCAAGAGAATTAAGGAGATTTATGCGGCTTAAAACGCGGGAAATATACCTTCCGGGCAAAACCAAACAGGCTGTTCGCCATCGGTGAATGTTTAGATCTCTCCAATCTAAGCATTTTATACTGTAGCCACACGGCGATCACAGAATCTTCCATTTTACCGGAGGAATCGTTTCGCTTTTCTCGTAATTGAATCTGTCTTTACTTATGCGTGAAGTTTACGTACGAATTTGGACACGCAAGATTGACTTATTAAAATTTCGTTTCGTCTCACTTAACGACCAGCGTCGTGTTCGAACTCGAGGTTGGCTATTGTACACTCTCTCTATAGCTCTAATTATAAACAGCAATTTAAGGAGTGGCATATCTGCTTTGAGACAAAACTTAACGAAACCGTTCAAAAACATTTCACTTCCAACTTCTATCAAAACTTGCCAATTGTTTATTTTTTTCCCGTTTTCACATGAATAGCCAGTCCTTTTGAATTTTGTATTAATTGAATAGGTGATTCGCTAATGCCCGCTCGCACGTACAAGCGTTAAAAGTTTCGTCGCTTTTGTGGAATTAGTTTTTCTTTTTAGATTACTCTGTCTTGTTTTCCATTTAGCGGCTGATAAGCAGGTAATGCTTTTAGTAACTACAAGGAGAACAGTTTTTTTGGATTTGTCGTGTCGTGCATGTCTTTGAAAGAAAACCGAGATCTGGAAGGTCATTACCCATGACGACAGGATCAAAGCTTGTTATTTTCATTAACTTTCTAAAACATCATTTTGCCGTCGTGTTACCTAGAGACTGTTTGTCGTTGCAAAGAATTGTCCTAAACCTAATTAATGAAATTTCAAATTACAAATATTAAAGGAGATCTGAGAATTTTCTGTCCTCGTAAGAAAGCTGATAATTCTTCGCCGTCCACCTCTGAAAACAATTCAAAAGTTTGCATGCCAACCGTAATCCGCCGTACAGCGCCCTTTTTAAAAAGCTCAATTCGGAGCTCTTAAGAGGTACACGCGGGTTTCTATTGGCTGGTTACAGCAGTTTTTAAATGCCACGTAAGATTAACATTAAAAGGCATTTGTTGAGAGGATGGGATCACCAGATTAAGTTTCGCAGAGGCGTGTAAACTAACCCGGAGATCTGAGCTTTTAAGTCTGTTTAATTATAATTAGATAATCGCTTGAGCTTGCCATAGTTTGTTGATATTCTTTTCTGCTATTCTGCTTTCTTAGCGGTTACCATCGTCAAAGCTAACAAAAGAGGCTATTTTTACTTCCCACAAGTTTAAAACTTTTCTTTTTCATTGCAATTTTCAGGTTCAGTTTAATTGAATCCTTGCCGGTATAAAGCATTTTTATTTGCCGTCTCTGAATCCTTCAACTAGGTAGTTCCGCACTGTTTCATTGTTAGATATTTTGACCTGTTTACCAAGAGACTTATAAGTAAACTTTTCTTATTTTCAAGGTTCGGTTGTTGAACTGTGACCGGCTTTATAAAGGTCTTTCGATTAGTAACTGAAAAAAAAAAAAAAAAAACAAGGGAAGAAACATATTTCTTAGCCCAGACAAACTTCGCGTCTTTTTAGAGGTTTTAGTTCAACGTTAAACTAAATTTGTCATTAGGGCGAGTTTCTCTTTTTCGTGGCTCGCGCGTTCTTCAGTCTTGATTTGGCAACCGAGCGACAGATCTATGTCACTTCGCGATAGGCCAAATAATTAGGACTTCGGCTAAAAACCTTAGTCTCCAGTTTCTTGCGAAAACTGACTCTAATAATAACTTTTCAAATATTATATTGCAGAATCATTTAAGGGCTAAAAATGTTTGTGACGTGTGACATTCCCCAATCTTAACTACCTGATTGTTACATTTTGTTCGTCATTACCTCTTGGTGAATTGAACTTCAGCAAAGGGTTTCTTCGATTTTAAAGATGATTTTATACATCGTCAAACATTAATTAGCTTAGCACGCAGTGACATTGTTCCTAGAACTAATGACTCACTAATAGAATATAAAATTGATCTTAAAGGTTAACAACTCTTACTCGGTTATGCACATAATCGGAGCCGCACTCCTTTTTACCAGCGGTGCTGCGTATTGTTGGGCTCAGACATTCACAACCTATCAACTGGCCAAGTTCAACGTCAACGACAAGTCTGTCTTCACCGCGCGCCTGGCCATTTCAAGTATTCTTACACTAAGTACCTTGCTGTTCTTGATCTGCGGAGGACTGGGTTATCACGACAAGACGCCCGACACGGTTTTAATTGTGGGTAATTTAGCCGAGTGGCTTGCGGCTTGGTGTTTTGGTTTGTTTGGGTTGACGTTCTTTAAAGAATTTCAAAACCTTTCTGTAAAAGTTCAATGCATACCTAGATGTAGTGGACAGAATAGCGACGCCCTTAAATATTCCACTATTCCTGTCTCTGGTCTCGATGAAAACATCACGGACAGCGATTGACGAAGCAGCAAGTTTAAGGGGGCGGTATCCGCCTACCTAAAGGAGTCATGACAACAGCAGCAGAGAAAATAAGAGACTTCAACTTTCTGTGTTTCCACTGTCGGTGATACGATATTTCAATTTAGGTAGATAATTTAAAATATCATTTCCTTGAAAATTAATTATCAAAGTCATGTTATTTAAGGTGATTTTCAACAAATACTTGTAAAATTTTTTTTTTTTTCATTCAATTTAATTAATCAATTTAACGAGACTGATAATATAAAACCGAATTGTTCTAAACACAAATAATTTTAGATCCCAAATCTAAGATACATAAATCTATTTTATTTTTGTACGGATCAATAATCGTCTTTTGTGATAAGGCTAGAAATTCATTCTCTGAGACAGCTAAGATCAACCTTTCTTTTAAGCCTCTCCAACTTGACTAAGTGAAGGTGTTCTCTATGTTCATTGTTGTACCGTAATAATTCTATTTAGTGCCTTCTGAGCGTCCCCCTGGCCTTAAATATTGAATACCTTCCTTAATTTTAAAGTAGTCGTGCCAAAGCCACAGTACGGAGTCAATCTTGCGTTTATTGTTCACACAGCTTCCACAGAGGAAGTGGTGTGAGCTGAACTTTCATGTGTAGCTGTTTTCGAGACATCGCCGGTTTTGACTCAGGTTTTTAGAGATGTGGAGGGAGTATGACAAAGTTCAAACCCAACGTATTTATTATTTTTCGCCCTTTCCTTGAGGCGGAAACTAAAATTAAGGCCCAGAGGTGTTAAATCGGATCATTACAGTATCTACAGTAGACAACATGGTAGGGTAGACTGGAGATATTTGTTTTGACAGATCACTTTATTGGTTTAGTACTGAAATTTATCGAAAGACTAAATATCTTGCCAACCCAGCAAGCGGCTAATGTTATCACAGACACAGAGGACAAAAGACAGTTAATTTTAATTTTATCCAGACAAAATAGTTTCATTATTTTGTAACACTGCTGGTGAGATGCCTATTCCCATCTAAAAATAGCTCATTTGAATAAAGAATGTTTCAAAGAATTGGTTGTACGTAGTTCTCGGGAAAACGAACATTTTCAGGGAGGTCCGCTAGCTGTGGGAACTCCCTTATCTAAAGGACGGGTCTCCTCGTCGGAAATTTTGAAATGAACCCCTATGAGGTACCAAGATCTTGTTTTGTGGGCGTGGCTTGAAAATTTTTTCACCCCTAAAAGAGGTACCGATTCTAAAACAACACATTTTCGTAATTTTAATAGCGATAAAGACGATTGCTTCGAATACCTTCTACTCGTAAATTTTAGGAAAGCACTGTGATAAATCCCTATCAATTCCCTAAAAGGTACCGAGAATGCTCCCGCTGTGGCCCTTTTGAGATTGAACACCCAAGGAGAAACCAAAACCGCTTTTTTAACCCCTAAAGCAAAGATATCAGTGACGTCATCTATTGTTATTACCATGCCAACCAGAGAACTATTGGCTGGTGAAACAAAGGATTCTTTTGTTTAACGTTTTGGACATTTAAATAACAAAAACAATGTTTGCAAACAGATATCTTACCTAAAACGTACGACGAGAACCTCCGTCCTTTCTATACCCTACCCTCGAGGTCCGCTTTGCATCATGGCTACTTAGGAACATCGACACAAAATGTTTCCGCTTTCCCATTGATCTCTCACTCGTAAGACAGAATCAGTTGGTTGGTGGAAAAAGTCAAATTAAATAAAAGCTGGACAAGACGAATATTGACAAATGAATAAATAAATAATTCCAAGAGAGCCTTGATCGTATCTTACACGTGACTGCCGTTTTCCATCGAAGCCACTATCACTGTAATACTGTATCAGTAGTTTTCGAAGATGTCGTTTTGAGGACTTTAAAAAAAGACGTCACTTTGAAGAACTTGGGAACAACACAACATGGAGCCAGGCAATGAGTCACTGAATTATTATTTTATTATTTTGGGTTAGTCGGGCGAAAGGATATTTCCAGCATGATTTTCAGAATCTCTCCTTCCCATTCCTCCCGCGGCTGACATCGCTAGAAGGGGTCCCATCATTTAGGCACA